TATCCTTTCTTCTGCTTAACTTGTTTTCACAAGATTTATACATGATGTGTTTGTATTAATTCTTCCTACGAAAAACAATAAGAAAAGTGGCTAAAATAACTGTTTATACAGTTCCTACAGAGTATTACTCTTTCCAAACAGGGAAATAGTTTTTAAAATGTCTTTTTTTTATTTTTTAAAGAAGATTTTTAGATGACCTTGATGACAAATGGTTTCGACTATATCCAGTGCTAAATCAGCTCAACATCAGTAGTGTCATACAAAGCCTGTAGTGATACAACAGGTTTACTTCTAGCTTACCTCAATTAAAAAAAAAAACTCTTACAGATTTTGAATATATTCAGAACACACCCAGAAAACTGACAGCAACACTTAAAATATCTCATTAAATGATTACAAAATAATGACATAGAATACAGAGGTACAAACAACCAGCAATAGCTAAACCGTGTTACCATATACTCACGTGCTTGCTGACTAGCTGGCCATCCAAAATTAACGTCCCTTTGAAAATATACGATATTGTCATGTTTCATGATTCATTTGTTAGAATGTGCAAACTGACTGATGAAATAGTTCTGCCCACTGTTACATGAATCCATTCATTGGCAGAAATCTGACTACGCATTTTACCTATTAGAAGAGCATGATTTTCTTGAAGATTTTTTTTCCCCTGTGTGACAAAAAAAGTCTCAATTACGGTACACTCGAATTACAGTCACATGGAAAAACTAAGCACTTTTGCTTACGACTCTGCATTATGACACGAACATAATGACTAAATAATGTTATTTAGTCTTGTGCTCAGAACAGGCAATTTTTATCAAAACTCTCTAATTTTTCTACTGATCTGCAACACTACCATCCTAAAATAAAAAGGAAACACCTACATGTAAAACTGCATCCCTGAGCTTATTTTCAGGTTCTCATTCCAAAAAAGTCCGAAACATTATTACCTTACTTCAGCGTTATAGCACTGCATTGCTCTAGAATATGTATTCACATAAATCCCAGTATTTAAATCAACGGTTTACATTAGGGGGAAAAAACCCAAAACACAAAAAATAGGTTGTGTTTAATGACACAAACAAAGCATTAACTGAAAGATATCACAGATTTGCTTTCAAATTATGTATAAATTCAAGCAGCAATCCTCACAAGACCTAAATATCTACCTATACCTATAGAGGGGTTGATTTAACATAGTCTATGTACAAGTTACTACTGAAGATGAATTTACAGCCTAGGTTTAATTACAGCTCTGCAGTGCTTCACCATAAACTAAATCATCAGCAGAACTCTTTTTTTTGTTTCAAGGTACACCAGCTTAATTAAGTACAGACACAAAAATGCCCTTCTTCTAAATCAAGAAAAAAGATGCAATGTAAAACCCAGTCTTACCAAACTGACCACAAGCACTGCTGTCTAGTACTGAGGGGAGGGGAAAGCAGCAAGTAAAACAGCTTCCCAGTTTTACACCGAATCCTTTTGATATATGTGCCATTCATTCATTCATTAGGGCAATAAAAAAACTAAGTGAGTTTCCTCCACTTTGAAAGAAAAGTTGAAGGAGACAAAATTTTAAAAGAATTTTAAACAAACTCCAGAAACTGCAGCTGCCCCCAGAACACCGACGTTCACAAAATCATGTCCCTCTTTCTCTCAAACATAAATAAATCAAGCTGGACAAGAAACGTCATGACAGTTTTCACCGATTACAACTTTTCTGTATGGAAAAAATCACTGTCAGTGCCACTAGCGCACAACTTTATTACGTGTGTACCTTAACTGCCCTTCAGAAAAAAAAAAATATGGAATTCAGAATAAAGCATCACCTTGTTTAAAACACTTAAATTTTATGAAAGATGTTTTCTACCACAAAAAACACCGTTTCTTAACAAAATTATCTTTAACACGACCAAAGATTTCTAAACTTTATTATCTGCTAAAGACAAAGTTGTACGAAGTCTTGAAATAAACTCCTCTGTGCACCGCACACATTGCCTTTTTGCTTTAAAGCTTTTTGGGAGAAAAACCTTACAGGAAAGAAATAGTCAAGTTAACTCATTCAATCATTTGCTGTAAGCACACACTAGATTAAACCAGGGATCGAGCTTTTAACTTCCAGTGAAAAACTACCACGATTGAAGGTGTTTTGTTCTTTTTTTTTCACTGTGTGCACAAATCTTCTGGCTGCTTTAGTTAGTGGGAGACAGGGAAGCTGCACATGCATCCCCATGCACGGTAATCTTGCAACACTCAGCCCTTTGCACCCCAATGCATTGAGGTTTATTGAGTGTTGGGGGGGGGATTAGTTTACAAATCTCCTTATTCCTTTCTCATTATAGAATCACTTCTGCCTCTCCACCCCTCAAAAAAAAACCAAAACCCAACCAAAAAAAACCCCAAACCAGACTGTGCCTCAGAGTTAATAGACTAAACAAACTTATCCAATATAACCTATTGAATGAAAGATCCCTATCTGCACAAGAGAGAAAACTATCTTAATGGCCTTGACAGAGTTTCTCTTGTCTTCTACCCACAGAAGACAAATCTCTACAGTCCAAGCACAAGAGGACAGAGTTATGATTTGAGTATGGGTGCAGCAATCTGCAAAGTAACACTCTAAACTGCTTTTTGAGGGAGCTTTTACCACCCTAATGCAGAAGCTATTGAGACCTCAGGCTGCATCAGGAGCTGGGTAAGGTTGTGCCTCCAGCTCAGGAAGGAGAGCGCTATTCCCTTTCATCAACCTGGCACACGTGGTACATAGTATTAAGTAGTAAAACAGATTTCCCGAAATAAAAAGATCCATGACGTGAAATTCAGTCTTTGAAAAGGATTAAGAAATGGCAGTGACCCTGAGTTGCCATAGTCAGGCATCACTATTTCAAACCATGCTGCCTGGAAGCTAGAAGCCCTTTCCTTTCTCCAGTGAGCCGAGTCACCTTTACCGATTTGGTTCACTTCACCCTGACATTGCTAGAAGTGAGGAGCAGGCAAGCTAAGGTTCATGAGAAAGACTGAATAAATGCAAAGAAACATAGATTCTGGAAATATTCAGCTCTTTCTACTGAAGTTCATACTGAAAACCATACTTTTGCTGGTATTACCAAAGGCTTTGTGACCTCCTTTGAAGTAGTGTTTGTTGGCGGGAGCTTGGTCCCGCAGCCGTGCAGCCGGTGGCCCGGCCGAGTGACCTGGGCGAGACAACACAGCTGGCCCTGTGCTACGGGAGTAAGCTGACAAAATAGGAGCATGCAAGCAGGCAGGCTGCCCCCAAGGATTAGTGATGGGTTCACCTCGAAAGTCCGTGACAGGCCGTGTGCCGAGGGTCACGCCGGCAGGCGGGAGGAAGGCTGCCTGCTGGCAGAGCGAAGCCGTCCTGCGCCTCTCCCAAATAACGAGAGTGGGAATGGGTTCAGCGTTTCTATCTGGGGAAAAAAAAAAAAAAAAAAAAAAGTGACTAAGCCAATCTCATGATTTTTGAGGGGACTGAGTCATAACTGAATACTGAACCCCCCAGGCAAGAATCCATTAAATTAATCGCTAATTTATTCCATGTTTTTTTCCTTAAACAAACTACCAAATCCTGCAAAAGTCTACTTCAGTCAGAAAGCAAGCGTTAGAGAAAGCTTGACGTTACTGTGAAAGTTGAAGAGAAGAGAAGGAAATAACGAACTGGGTGTCTTCGGCTGTTGAGAGGGGAGGTTCACTGAAAGCGGGAAGAAGATTCACCCACCTCTCAAGGATAAGGACATTTCCCTGCATTTTATGAAGCACAACACTTAACATGTGCTCATGACAGTAATGGGAAGGAATGACAGTAAATGATTTTCTGTATCGGCTTCTGTCCTTTAAGCTGACACACCCTGCTGCCGCTCCCTTTCTTCTGCAAGTGTTGTTCTTCTGTCCTAAGGCAGAGAACTAGCAGTGAAAACGGCTGTTTAATATTAAAAGCGAGAAACAAAAAAGGGAGACAAATGTATAGGCTTTTTGCATACAGCATTTCAAACATCTGAAACCCCCTCTCCCCTCGGGAGTCTAATTTACAAGGTAAATAATGGAGCGAAAACCCTGACATAGCTCATCTGGTTGAAGGCAAAATTCCCTTCTGCCCACAATACTGCCTAAGTAAACTGCCTGTTTTTGCTGGAAAGGCTGCCCCTTCAAACGGCTGAAAATACAAATGAGCACAGTGCCTCCCGCCTGAAAACCAGTTAATTCAAATACCAGTGCTGTTCAAAGCTGGAGCTGATGGTGAAAACTGGCGTGGGCAGAAAGGATGTCACTGTCTCACAGTTCAGCAATGTTTAAAACACCTTCAATTTTATCCTGTCCTAACACAGTTTCATTGTAAAGTCTGCTAACAGTTTACCACAATATTTTGTAATAATGTAAGTTTTGTAAGTTTTATTGCAAAGCACGCTTTGAAGAAACTTACCTGCTGCAAAGTTTCCACCTCGGTTCTGTTTTACCATTCATTTTTGCCATTTTTTGTGGTCTGTTATTTCATTCCTACAGTTTTATTTTCTTCTGTCCTTTATGCCAGTGGCCATGAATTATAGCTCCCAAACAACATGTTGCTTTTCCAACTGAAAAAAGTGGTGCTGTATTTTTCTTCTGTGTATCCACGTTCTTAAGATTGACGGAGCAAAGTAATGTTCCTAACAACATGGTACTGACTTAATTATTTTGTGAATTGATCAACAACAAATGAGGTCCATGGCTATGGAAATAAGAAAGGGTTAGCTGACATTAGCTAGCGAGCTGAATAAACTACTCGGCGTTAGCTGCCTCCCAGTAACTACTGTAATTGCTCTTATCCTACAGTGAATGCGAAGCGCTTGGGAATGGCTCACCCTCCCATACCTACTCCTCGTGATTTCGCTAGATCATAAGACCCGTGCTCGCGACAGCGCCCAGGAGGGGAAGGATTTGTACGTATGACTTTTCTGAAGCAACCAGGCACCCGTTCTTTCAGGGCCAGGAGGGAATACCTTCCTGTAGTGCCGCAAGAACTGGTTGATCACTGCGGGAGGTTTACTGCTCTCCATGGAAAGCTTCCTCCTAGTGCTAAGAGCTTTAGGAGCTCTGAAGGCTTTTTTCTTCAGAGATGCAGAACTTTTATCCCAATAGTTTCTAGGTACAATGAAGGCTTTGCTACTTCTCCAGTCATTCTGGTAGTGAGATTCAACTGGGAAGAAAAAAAACAGTCAGCACTATACTGTGTTTTGGCGGGACCAAGACACAGAAAGCTAAGGTGGCTGCTGTGCAGAGAAAAAACAGAACCATTATTTAAAGCACCAGGAGTCTCCGGGACCACAGTGGTACCGGCCTCGTGCCCATAATGGCACAAAAACAGTGCTGGGGAGGAAGCTCTTTCCGCTCCACCCGCACCGTTGCCTACCAGAAAGTATTTACAAGCAGCAGTCATCTGCCCTGGTTGGACCTCAGGGAGGGGCTTCTCCTCGTGGATCAGTTGGCTCCTTGTATTTTAATTTTTCAATAGAAACCCAGCCTACGCTCGGTCGGCGTCCACAGCGATGCCATCGGCACGGTCCGTCAAAGCAGCTGCCCCAGCTCCTCCCGCGTAAGGTCCGCAGAGGCACCGGGAGATTTGTAGAGGCAAACCCAGCTGTTTTCACAGCGGTCACGGGGGCACAAAAGTTGCTCTATGATGTGGATATGATGCTCTATGAAGAAGGAACAGAAGTTGCTCCTGAGGTTTCCCCAAAGCCTCGTAACTTCAGAGTACCCCGAGCATTGAAACACGCTTGCAGGATAAGTTTTGAACTTTCTGTGGCCCGATTTGCCCAGGCCAGCAGCAGGCATCCCGGCGGTTCCCAAGGGAAGCTGAGGCAGCAGCAGCGCAGGAATGGCCGTGCAGGTGGAAGCGACGAGCAGAACAGCACAGGACACCAACAGGAGGTGTTTCGTTCCAAAAATGCATTAATGCAAGCCTGACTTCAAACTCCGTATTCCTGAATTTGCTGGAAATTTGTAACAAATACATTTCATTTGTCAACGTAAGGAACTTAAGCATGGACTAGTTCCAGTTAACCTGAAACAAATTTGAAGGCTGGACAAACCTTTAGGAGATCATGGGGATGCTTGACTCCATATGGCCTGTGTATCAGTTATCTGTGCAGGCCTTTTGGCTGAATTTGTGACTTATTCATCCTTATCTTAAATACAAGCCTCCTCTCTTCTCAGGCAATTGTCTGTTTTAGGGCTGCAGTCTCAAAAGAAGCTGCAAGTCTCTATCTCACTCACCTTCCTTTCGCCTTCTGTCACCGAACCCGTCATGATAAAAACAAAGGTACATTTTTTCCCAGGGCTACGCTGAGTTCCAGAAAGAGTCTATGTGATGCTAAAAAACGCGCGTGGTATCAACACCCGCGCGGCTGGGCTGCGTGGCTCTCGCCTAGCAGTGGAGTCACCAGGAGGGAGAAGGGAACTGTACGTCGCTGGAGCTCGTCTGTGCTCGGGCTTGCACAGCGCAGTGACAGAACTTCTCCATCTGCCCCGACCTGGTCCGCCAGACAACTCAAAGGCCTAAGTTCACAAAGGCACAATTAGCTGCTCACTCATCATTACATTCATGGGAAGAGAACTGAACTATGACAAGAAACTGAAACAAAATAATATATAAAGTTTGTTGCGCTTTTTTTTTTCCATAGGAACTTCCTACTGGTCAGAGCATCATTAAGACACATCAGCAAGATAAAAATCACAATTAGAATTGAGACTTCTTTTCCTGCAAGCTAAATTGCTTCTCAAAAAGAGTACCAAAGGTTAAATTATTGATTTAAATTCTCTAGACATGAGGCACTGTCACTTAAGAATACCGAATCCTAAACAGCAGCATGTAGAAGAAAGCAGTCTGATCTCTTACGGAGGAAGACAGACACTCAGCCACATTTTTCTCAACTGAAGACTCTAACTTGAGAACAAAAATATTTCCAGCTTTTTTCTCAAGCCTCCAAAACCACTGCACCTCACACCACAGTGTAATTTTTCCCCAAGGTGTCTTGAGGGATTTATGTTATCTACCATCAGCGTTGCAGGCAGCAGCTCCTTGACATGCCGATGCCAAGATACAGGCGTGGAAGTGTGGGAAGAGAAAACCTGAGGTTTTTGGTAGCTGTTTTGTGTCAGGTAAAACGAGCTTTCCTCAGAATTTGGCAATAGGAGCCTTTTTAAAAAATGAGGTAGAGCAGTAGTTATTTTTCCCCAGGGCAGGAAGAGCGAGCTATGCTTCCTGACAAGATGTAAAGTGTTTTACAGAAGGCAGTGGCACGTACAGGTGCAGGAGCCTGATTCTCTAAGAGCAGAGACGAGCAGGATACGCTTTTTGCCTACCCATCTTAATTACTGGCCGAGAGGGCTCTTCGCACGACGAAAATCAAAGTAGAAACCCACTCATCTCATACGCCTTCTCCTTTTCATTTTTGCAGAATTCCAGCAGACCCATTTCACAAAGCAGTTCAGCGCTTAGGAGCTGAAGTTATTTCCGAGCACGGTGTGCTATCTGCTACCACTTCCCGAGGGATGATAAGACGCATCTGGGTACGCAACATCCAACACGTAAAAGGGCGCCCTGCCAGACCGTGCTTTTAGCAATGCGTACTACCCGGGGTCTCCCAGGTGCAAATGGCATCATCTGTTCCTGTAACAATGGAAAAACGCTTGCGGCACCAACAGGTACGATACCCCCGTGACCTCTCACAACATGAGAGAGGTCCCATACTCACCTGGAGCCTCTGGTTTTGAAGGGAGGATAAATGGACCAGGAAAAATAAAGCTTACTTCGATGAGTACTGAGGTTATAGTTTGCCTATGCAATTAAGTTTAATGTTACGAAGTCATAATTCTGTTTATCTGCTCCTCGTTAAATACCGTCTTTAAAACCACTATACAAACTGGAGTGGGTCTTTTGTCACAGCTGCAGAAAGTGTGAAAAGTAATTTCTGACTGTCTGGTTTGGAACACGATGCAGGAAAGGTGGATTAGCCAAATAAGTTCTATTTCTACTTCATATTGTTACATTTAGCTTCTGCCTATTACAACGTTTCCACCATTATCAATGCCACCTAAAAATAATTTAAAAATTACTTCTTTCCAGTTTATCAAAAAGGAAAAGCTCAATTAAATCAATACACAAGTCAGACAGTGCTGAATACGATATTCTAAACTGGATTTATTGTTTCCAGACATTAATGTAATACATAAACACATTAAAAGGGGGGATATAGTAACAAGCAACCCATTAACAGAAACAAAGCAAGTCTTTGAAATTTGTGTTCTATACTTACACATGAAAACGTCCCCAAAAGTTAAGTAGTTGTCAGTCAACATAGCAAGGATTTCAGATATAAAAAAACCCCCAAACAACTCATTAATGAGTTTGTCATGACCAAAATGTGTTGGTTTTTTTTTTTTAATTTATTTTTAGGATAAAAAAGAATAACCATTACCTCATGCAGCGTACAAAGGCTTTAAAACAAATCCATTAATGCAAATGAAAGACTAACTCCTGAGGCTTTTTTTTTTTAACACCAAAAAAACCTCAAGGACTTTCACAAAATTAATTTCAACTAGTTTTCTTAAATCCTTTCTTAGCACTGAAAAAGAAACCTGTAACTTCCTTGCACTCCAGAAATTTATTCAGAGGTACCTCTTTCAATACTAATATGTTCTTGTAATATATCCGAGAGTTCTTTAATTTACAAGAGCTTCAAATGAAATTAAGTGCAAAAATGTTTTCTTAGTGTTTTCCAATTATTGAGGTAAATAGTTGAAAAAAAAAAAAAAAGGAAAAAAAAAAAGGAGGGTAGCAGGATATCAACTGTCTGTACACCAGATGGGGGGAAAAAAATAAAAGGCAAATCTGAAATACATGGTTATGGTGCATTAGGGAGGTGTGAAAGAAGGACTGAGGAAGAAGTAACAGCAACAACCAACAGTTCCCCAGCAGAACTTTAAACCAAAGCCCTTGCAAATCCACTCCGCAGATCACCAACAGCTGAAAATAAAGCGTGTTGCTTAGCAGGCCTGGCGAGCGGGGCTACCGGGGAAGAGGCCATACGATAGTCACAGTTACAGCCGACTGCCTGACGGCGCTGGGCACATGAATGCTGCTGAGCAGCTGCACCGCATCCCGACCAACGGCACAAAGACTGCACGATCCACCGCGCGACGAGTTCCTGACGGCAACAACGGGGTCACAATTACAGAGCGGTAGCTTCTACAGTAAATAATATATGGCAAACGAGACTGAGTTAGCAAAATGTGTTATAAAAAAGTATAAAAGTTGTTTTTAAAAATTTTCTAAAAATTTCTTGTTTTGGGAAGGAGGAATATTAACCTGTGGCCTGGCATTATTACAGTAACTGAAGTGGTTGTATCAGATTGCTGGTGATCGACTTCTTGCAAACGAGAGGTGCATTTGTAAAATGCCCCAGGGTGAATGCCTGAAAGCTGGCCAGACAGTCGGGGAATTTTAATATCTGCAGCAGAATCAGCTGTGTTTGTAGAGGATGGACTAACACTTGGGTTGGAAATCTCTGTACTTGGTTTGCAGAGGACAGTGTGATGCAGAGGATCGAAGAGACGATTTTCAGGTCAGTCCCGCTGTCTGGATCCCAAACGCAGTCCCGAGTATGTTCTGGGTTTCTTCCTTTCAAACCTGTCTCGCTGGGGAAGGCGTTCGGTTGCGCGCCTGATGAGCCATGGCTTTGAGGCCCCGCCAAGCCCATCAGAAGGGCCTACTCTCATGAAAAGACATTTTGAACTTTGGGGGGGGCGGAAGAGGAAAGTGTGAGCTATTAGCTCAGGTAAAAAAAAAAAAAGTTGCTGTTCTTCAGCATTACTGAACCCCAATTAATCATCCTTGGTTAATAAGCTTTTTGACAGCAAACAAGTCTAGTATGGGCCCCTGCTCACACTGGCTACTAGCCGTGACCATGGTGAGGCTTGAGTTAAATAAAGCAGATCCCAGCTTCTACAGCCCGGGAGCGCTGGGCAAGGACAGCACCTTGCTTCAGGCTCACCTGAAGGATCCTCCTGCCGTTCCTCCCCACCGTTACCCTATCCAGCAACCCCCAGACTCGCAGCGAGCTCTATCGGTTCCATCTGCTTTGAAGCCCAAGGCAAATTGTACCGTTTCCATCCAAATCCTCAAAGAACTGGAAAAAAGATTTGAGAAGATTTTTTTCTTTTTCTCGTTCTGGGCCATGTTTTGAAGCCCAAGAAAAACTTGCTATTGTGTTTAGATAGGAAAAGTGCCACAAGAAGGGATGCAAAAGTCACCTCGCCTTTCCCAGATTTCCAAGTTCGCAATGCTATCAATCCAAGCCCAAGTCAACCCCACCTATTCTTCAGCCACACAGTGAGGGCTTCTTCATCTTAAGAGTCCAGTGGAGTTATTTGCTCTTCAGGCTGATCTGACCTGCATTCACCAAAAGCAGTATTCTCTTGCAACGCTCACGTGTTCCAGAAACCTGATACTAACAACTCAAGTACGTATTGTAAAAGAAATTGAACGTTAC